ACATCATATATATGCATGCCAGGGCCTGAATTTGGGGATATAGTAATTAACAAATCAGACAAAAATCTGTCCCATCATGGGCTTTTATAATGGGGATATATATATATATTTTAAAAATTACACACATATATATGCATGCCAGGGCCTGAATTTGGGGATATAGTAATTAACAAATCAGACAAAAATCTGTCCCATCATGGGCTTATATTATAATGGGGGAAGCAGACTGTAAACTTAAATATGTGAATATAGCATTTGCCCATGGTGAGAGGTGTTATGGAGAAAAGTAATGCAGGGAGGTGGGTAGGGAGGTACTTTCCTTGGTTAGGGCTCCACTGGCTCACTTACAGGTCTTTGGCCACTAGAATTTATTTATTTATTTTATTAAATTTATTGGGGTGACATTGGTCAACATGAACATATAGGTTTCAGGTGTGGGTTTCTATAGGATAAGATCTGTCTATTGCACCGTGTGCCCACCACCCACAAATCTCCTGTCACTGCCACCAGAATTTAATCTCTGATCTTTTGCCTTGGAGGAATGATAGTGATGACAATGGTGGCACTACTTACCAGACACCATGCTAGAGGCTTCTCTTATCTAATCATTACAATAACCCTGGAGGGCAGCTTATGTCCCCGTTCAGAATATAAGGAAACTGAGGCACAGGGTAATTAACACATTGCGTACCGCTCACAAGTTTTCTCATGTTTCTCGCCCCATCTGTTAAGGACCGCTCACGAGTTTTCTCCTGTTTCGGTCCCCATCTGTTAAGTAACTAAGTCATACAGCCAGACAATGACTCAGCCAGAGCTGATTGCCCTGGGCAGCTCCTCTGAGGTCCACAGGTTGTGTTTGTGAGGCACCAGAAAGCCCAAGATCCTCTCCCACATCTGGGAAGCCAAGTGGAATTTATCAGGCAAACCAAACTGATGGCAGGCCTGTCTGTCACCTCAATGCATCGCTGGCCACCTGTCCCTAGACAGAGACTGGGTTTAGACATTCACACGGGACCACGCATGCAGGATGTGGGTCTGGCAGCAATAAAACCACAAGATTACCTCCTGTAATGGCTGCGCAAAGGGCCAGGAAATATTTGTGCCCGTGTGTCCAAGCTTTTCTGGAGGAGGGACGGGCATCTCTTAGTCTGGGGATTATTGGTGTCACTCATGGAAGCAGGGTTTGTGGCTCCCTCCCTGCTGTGAGCTGTAGGTGGGTTGGGAAGGGTCCGGCGTGGCCAGGGCCCGCAAGGACCTTGAGGTCCAGCCAAGGAGCTCAGACATCCTCACAAGCCGAGAGCAGTCAGGATGACAGCAGCATGGGGGTCAGCAGGCCTGCTCCCTCCTGACGTGGCCACTAACCCTCTGAGTCCACCACTGCCCATGTAGGGGGCTGGCAGGGGAGCTCTGAGGTTCTCTCTAGCTGAGACTGTCTGAAGTAAAGGTGCAGGATGAGGGTGAGAGGTGTGCAGAGAGACCACAGAGAAGGCCCCCTAGCTGGGAGAGGAGAGAAGAGGCGGAAGGATGAGGACAGAGAAGCCAGGTGAGCATGCCCCTGGCCTCCGCAGGGCCCGGCGCAGCAGAGGACTCAGTAGCTCCTGGCTGCTTTCTATTCAGGGTGTGAAAAAGGCAGCTGTAGGCTCCAGGGGAATGAATTCCATTCCCTTCTTAAGAGCAGCTCTGGGAGAGCAGACATGAAGCCTGGGTGATGGGGCACCTCTAACGGGTGAGGGGCACACACCTAGCTCTGTGGATGGTCTTACCCATGGTCTCCCATGTTCAGGGTTTGGCCGAGTCCTGGCCATGTGGACCTGTGGTGAGTTAGAAGGAAATGCAAGCTGTCTGGGGAAGTCCCGACATATGGCATCCCCCTCATGCTCCATTCCTTTGGAAGACCCCAGCCCAGGAAACATTCAGGGCCAGGGAGGGGCTGTTCGCTGCACCTTGGTATGCAGTGTGGGACCCTCACTCTCACCCACTTCCCTTTTTCTCCCCACAGTGCTTCCTCTGGAGAGGCAGCTCCACGAGGCTGCCCGCAGGAACAACATCGGGAGGATGAAGGAGCTGATCAGAAGCAGAGTCAACATTAGGGCCAGAAACCACGTGCGTAAACAGGCTCCTCCTGCTCCGGAGGGATGGGGACAGTGTGGCGGGGACACCTCCCCCAGGAGGGAGAGTTTATGGTGTCTGCATCTGCATTTGCATCTGCATTTGCAGGTTGTCCACATTGTCTCAAGGTCTCTGAGGCCTCACCCAAGGTCAGGGTCAGGATTCTGAGCCAGACTTGGGCAATTCCAGAACTTATACTCGTATAAGTTACTAGAGTCCTGATGCAGCCCAGCTTCATCCGGAAGGTTGTCCAGAAGGATGTCCGGAAGATTGTTGGGCTGTCTGGTCTAATTAGCATATTACGCTTTTATTATTATGGACTAGAAGCCCAGCAAGTGAATCGTCATGCTTGCAGCCCCACCCACCCATGCACACAGCT